ACTCAGGAAACTTCTTACTAAGCGCAAGAGAGACAAACGATCGGGTATCACCCGAATCAAACAACACCTGAACTGGGATACCGTTCACATGGAACGATCCTAAACAGAGCATACATATATCATATCAAAATCATAGCGACATAACATAAAAGAGCTAAGAGAACAAAAAAATCATACCCGTCACCACATCGGGTGCAACGCGTGCCTCCTCGGCTGTCAACTGAAATACTCGGCTCCGCACCACTGAAGCCTCTACCTTGGCCCTCCGGCCATCTTCAACCCGTGTAGTCACCGGAATCGGAGCCACTTCCGGCGCCGCTGCTGCTGTCGTCAATCTGGGGCAGTTGGCCTTTTTATGGCCCCTCTGATTGCAATGAAAGCAAATCAGGTATGATGTCTGAACCGCAGGAGCAGGGGCAGTATAATCCCTGCCAAAATGCCCAGTCTTGCCGCACTTATAGCAACCGGAACCCGACCCAGTGCGGCAAACTCCCTCATGTGACCGACCGCACTTTCCACATCGGTCCCGCCCCTGTTGGCCCTTCGACCTCGCGTCGAATCCCTTGGATTTCTTCCTCGAAACCCCTGCAACCTGCGCAGTCTCTGACTTCCTCTTCCTGAGGTGCTCTAGATCAATCTCCCTCTCTCGCGCCCTGGCAATCATGGACTCTAGGGTCGGACAGGCTGAATAGCTGACATGCTCTCGGATATCATCCCTCAACATATCATGATAGCGGGTCTTCCGCATCTACTCATCCCCCGCATACTGGGGTACCAAAAATGCTCTCTCTCGGAACTTGGCGGTGATCTCCGCCACAGTCTCCGTAGTCTGTCTCATATCCAAAAACTTCATGGCCAGCTGCTGAAGCTCCACAGCTGGTGCAAACTCAGCCCTGAATCTGGTCATGAAATCTGACCAAGTCATAGCCTCGACGACTGGGGCTCCCAACGAATCACCAACCAACTCCCACCAATCTCTGGCTCGATCCCTCAAACAACCTGCAGCAAAACGGACCTTCGACCCTTCCGGGAAGAAGCTCGTCAACTGCGCAGACTCGATGTCTGCGATCCATCTCCTGGCAGCAATGGGGTCCTTCACCCCATGAAAGTCCGGCACGCCACTCCCTCTAAAGTCCTTGAAGGACAGCGTGCGCGTACCCGACTGACTGGACGCCGCATCCCTCCTGAATGCCTGGAGGCAATCCTCCATCAACTCAATAATCCCTTCCTTGATCGACCCGAAGATGATAGGGGTCGACTCAAGGATACCGCTAGTGATCTCAGACGCGATGAACTCGCGTAACCCGTCATCAACCTGCTCGGATCCCGCGCCCGAGCCTGACCCTGATCCTGACCCAGATCCTGCTCCATGTCGTGTAATCGCCATACTGAAAATAAACACATAAACGTCAGGATCATACATACCTCCGAGAGGTCTCACACACTCTCTAAGTTTCCTAGTTCCATCTCGGCCCTCCTTGACTCGAGTACGGATCCTCTGCTTTCAGTAGTACGGGCCCATACTACCTTCCACATCTATCCGTACTTTCCTCAAGGATTGCTTCAACTTCACCAAGTCCCTTTACCGATACCCTTTCCTACTAATCTCGTCCTAGGCTTTCCTAGGGCACTCCCCGTCCTACTCTCCGCCATCAGCTGCACTAGGAGTCCCTACTTCCCTTCCCTAACTAGCTTGCGAATACTGTTACATATCCGCTCACTAGTTGGTTAAAGTTAGCCAGGACCCCTTAAGCACAAAGCAAGCAGCATTCGTGCATCGAGTAACCACATCAGGCATAACCTAATCAGGCTATCCTACTGCTGACTAAACAGTCCTAGCATACAGCTCATACAACAGGCATTCAAGGCATCCTCTAGATCCTTAGCCCTACTCTAGCATGCAGTTCTCAGAATCATATATCAGGCATACAAGGCATCCTTCTAGATCCCTAGCCCTAATCTAGCATGTAGTTCTCAGAATCAAGAATCATACACATAACATAACAAGTATGGGTATCTTGGGGAAAACTTACTTGAGCTCGGCCGGTCGCACGCATCACACACCTTGTATGTTCTCAAAATTCCTCAACTTAAAATTTTAGAAACTGTTTTCCTTAAAAAAAAATCTTTTAGTCCCTTGGTTTGAGTCCAGACACCCTCGAGAGTGTGTCCGAATCCCTCAAACCAGGGCTCTGATACCAACTTGTAACATCCCAAATTTCGAGGCCAAAAATTTCATTTTTAAATAAGTAATTCATAACATAGTTTACCAAACATTGCCAATGTCATATCACTAACCATAGCAGCGTGTCTAAAAAACCATAACATCGAAAGTAATAAAAATCAGAGTACAATCCCAGAAAACTCCGTGCGGAAATCATGTGTGTGATGCGCTGCTACACCGCCGGCTCCTTCCCCTTCGACGAAAAGGTACCTAAAACCACAACCGAAAATTATAAGCACAAAGCTTAGTGAGTTCCCCCATCATACCGCATAGTATATAATATCGTCGGTATCTTTCAACCGGTAACTACCATCGGTTTCTTTCAACCGGTAACTATCATCGGTATCTTTCAACCGGTATCCGCCATCGGTATCTTTCAACCGGTAACTGTCATCGGTATCTTTCAACCGGTAACTACCATCGGTATCTTTCAACTGGTAACTGGGGACTATTTCACCCCTACCACTAGCATACAATAGCAAGATATAAAGATACAATCAGGCATATCGGGGTACTGACCTACCCATTGGTCCTAACGACCTATGCCAGGGAAAGACTATTCCCTGTCACTACCACTAACACAAAATTCATATTACGCAATCATATCTCATGACCAAGTCACATAATCAAACCAAGATAATTATCACAAAGACAATTACCTACTAAATATCCCTGTTGGTGGGTCGGCATTGTGGCCTTAGACCCACCCCTACTGGAAGGTAACTCACCTCGCAAGGCTGACTACTGAAAAGTTGATCGACAGATGTCTGACTGCTGCTCCGGTGATCCTCCGGCTATAAGTCCATAAAACACTTAATCAGACTATGATAACTACTCTTTGGGAAAAATGACTATTTTACCCCTGACCAAGTCAAAGTCAAAGTCAACTTCCAGTTGACCCGACTCGCCGAGTTGGGCCGCCAACTCTTCGAGTCCATATCCTTTCATCTGTCCTTCTTCACGCCTCTACTCGTCGAGTTTGGCAACGACTCGACGAGTTCTCCTTCTAAAACAACCCCGAATGAACCTTCATCCGACTCGCCGAGTTGTATGAACAACTCGTCGAGTTCATCTCCATCCTATAAACAAGTCCTGCCCTTGACTCGCCGAGTTGTATGAACAACTCGTCGAGTTCATCTTCGAAAGTTGGGAGATTGCCTTGGACTCGCCGAGTCTGTTCATACACTCGTCGAGTCCTATGATTTCCAGGTCTATGGCTAAGTCCAATGCGTTGGGTCACTCCCCCGAACCCCTCTAAGACCACTCTAACACTCACTGGGTTCCTTCGAACCATAACAGAAAAGGGGAGTCAAGTCATGGACTCGCCGAGTACCAAGAACGACTCGCCGAGTCGAGAATGACCAAGTCTCATTTCTCGATTTCTGTTGTACAACACTTGACCAAAAGATAGATCTAGGCTTCTAAGATCGATCTAGCACGTAAAGTTACAAACTTTACGTGCATGCATGGGACTATGAGCTCAAATGGCCCTAAATGAGACTCTTAAGATGCATGGGGCTCTCCAAGGCTCCAAAATCAGTCCCTTTCTGCCTTGTAACCCTTTAAAGACCTTGGATCTGAAGTCTTAGCCCCCAATCATGCTTGCACTCATGATTGGTCACCAAGAATGGCTCCTAAAAGCCCTAAATGACCCCCAAAAGGGATCTAAAACATGAAAGAGCAAGATATCAACTTTATACCTCTAAAGAACTGCAGAGGGTGCACCAACTTGAACTCCTCTGGCCTCCTCTTGATTCCTCAAGCCTTTCTCTTCCTTCTTATGTTCCAAAATCACCAAAAACCACCACAAAGGCCTTAGATCTTTACACAAACGATTAGGGTTTGATATGGAGAGTTCTGAGAGCAATAGGGACGAAGGGAGGCTGAATGAGATGCTTAAATAGGGTGCAATCCCTTAGATTAGGGTTTTGTCCGAACAACGCCTTCTCGTCGAGTCGGTTTGCCGACTCGTCGAGTAGGTCACTAAACTCCCGTGTCCAAAGTCGATTCTACTCGACGAGTTGGACCTTCAACTCGCCGAGTCCCAGGCCAAAATGTTATAATTACTTGAATGAAAGTACGTACCAGGAACCGGGTGCTACATTAAATGAGTATGACTTAAATTAAACACAAGAAAAGACCAAATCGACAAAAAAAACCTTTACGAAAAAAGAACAACAGAGACCGCTGATATAAATGAAAAGCAAGCTATTCGTCGTCCGTGAAAAAAAAAACCTAATTGCCGGAATGAAACTATTCATCATCTGTTGCATCGTGCAAGTAAAACTAATTTTAGAAATTAAACTATTCCCAGAAAGAAAAAGTCTACGAAAAGAAAACTAATGTATGGAAGAAATTATTTGCCACCCGTTCGATCGCATGGATACAAAACGCAATAGAATGAAAAAAAAGAAGAAAAACAAATTGTAATTTAATTTTTAACTTTTCACATGTTTATATATAGTCTCGCAAAAAAAGTAACATTATTTTAAATGTAGTTCAATAATTTTATATTTAATATAAGATAATTTTACATTTTCAATTCGAAATGAAACAAATAAAATGAAAATTTATCATTTTAACATTATTCGTTAAATGAAACTAATCGTCGTCCGCTGCCAGATAAAGAGTAATAGACGAAAATTACTATTTGCAGCCCGTCTACGGACAACTGATCGCCGAAAGGAAAAAAATGCTGGAATGAAACAAATCAATAGGAAACATTTTGACGACCACCGAAATGACACTAACTTTCACTCGAAAACTAATCGCCAGAATGAAACAAATCGCCGCATCGCACAGGTACGCTACTAATAATATATATATATATATATATATATATATATATATATATATATATTATATATATATATATATATATATATATATAGAGCTAGGTTCAAATGTTTTAATTAAGTATTGTGTTATTGTATGCATAAATGTGGGCCAATCAAAATTAAATAAAAAATTAAATAATTAAATAAATAAATAAAGGTAATTTAGTAATTTGCTTAATAAATTCGAAAAATAATCCCTATAATCATGGTATCTCTCCAGTTTAAATCTCGTTCTCCTCTTTATCTAAAAACTGATTCTGAAAACCTTAGAACAAATCGACATCAGCGACCTTTCATCGTCTTCTTCATAGATCGGGAGAGGGAAGAATTAAGCAATCAAGCATCGAACAGAGGTGGTATTGGGATCTTCCGTCGGGATTGTTCGGGAAATCTGCTTCAAGCCTAGTATGAAGATGAGTTCAATTCCAATCCCCCCTCGTTTGTGTAAATCACTGAATTTTCCAAAACCCTAGAATTTTACAACCAAGGCCATCTTCTCTTTGTTGATCTGCTCACTGTTTCGACCTGCCATCTCTCTCGCTCGGCTCTTTGATCTGCCCTCTCGCTCTCCTCCTCATAGCATCAGGTAAACAACACCTCTTTTCTTTAGCTCCTCCTTTCGTAAACTGTCTGTTCGGACACTCTAGATTGTATTTTTGGAGCCATGGAATTATTCGGGGTTAATCTGGGTAATTATTTGTTTGGTGATGGTGAGTTATGCGTCTTTAAGTCTTGCCCACACTCTTAATTTTCACTCACAAAACACACTACTCAATTACAGAGCTAGAAGACAAGTACAGACAAAAACACACATTCTGTATCAAGTGATGAGGGTACTATTCATGTTTTCAGCATCACATCTGTCGATAATCCAGTCCTCATTACCAGTTCATCTCGTGCTCTCATTAAAGGTACACAGTACACACAGTCGCATTGGTTTTTAATTAAAAATCAACCATTGTTCTCGAATCTTTGACAAAAAGACATACTATAGTTTCATGAATATGTCATTAAATTATGTTGCAGGAGTTATCCCCAAGTATTTTAGCTTTGTGTGGTCGTTGGCTCAGTTCCGATTGGTTGAAGGCTCTCAGTATATTGTTGCATTTGGTCATCAAAAGAACACAGTGGTGATTCTTGGCTTAGATGGAAGGTATTAAAGTTTCTTGACAGATTTATATTCATTCTGGAATGATGATTACTCTGTTTTTGATGGATTAAAATTGTTGTAATTGTGCAGTTTCTATAGATGCCAATTTGACCCAAAAGCTGGAGGGGAGATGACTCAACTGGAATATCACAACTTTGTGAAGCCTGATGACTCTTTCTAAATTTGCTTAACAACATATGAACATATGTCTTTTCATGGTATGTTTGTTGCTCTGTTACACTTTTGCTGATGCTTGTGAAGGAATGGGTATATATAATTTTGTAAATGCCAATGTATATGTAATGTAAAAATTGTCAACTTGCTAAATGATAACTTTTGAAGATGTTCGCAAAGAAATCAGAAACTGAAACTGTGGATCCCACACAATTAAGTCAAATTGATTTGTGTACAGAATCACCCCGACGATCCAGATTCCGAATCTTGGAATCATCTTATTCATTTATGCAGATGATTCAATGGATAATATTGGTGAGATTCCAATTATATTGGAATGGAATGACGAATTCCAATTCTGTTGGAATCACAGAAGTTGATGCTTGAAGAACGGACCATATTATTCTTTTAGAATGTATTAGTCGTTGTTAGATTTTGATGTTTTCTTCCCCGTTTTGATTGTTTTTTTAGTTTTATTCTTTAACAAGAAATGTAATTCTTAACAATTATTACTCGTATTCTATAAGAAATAATGTATTTTTTGTTTTTATTCTTCAATTGATTGTTCAAGATTTTGTTATTCTACAAGAAGTTGTTATTCTTCAAGAAGTTTTTAAAGTCATCATCAAGAAATAGGTTCAAGAATATTTTTATTATTTATGGTTCAAGAATATTTTTTTTGAATATACTCATAAACATATTCTGGCAGAATGTCCGAATTAAAAGAATTATAATTCGTAAAATCAGATTTTTAAAATTAATAGAATCTATGATCCCTTAAAAAAATGCAATTTTCCTTCATTAAATCTATATTAATTGACTAAATTACCCTTGTAATTAATTAAGATGATTTTTTCAATTATATTTAATTCAATAATATATATTAATCACTTTCTTAAAATAAGTAAATTTGATTGGCCCACATTTATGCATACAATAACACAATAATTACTTTAAACAAAATAACCTAAGCCTATATATATATATATATATATATATATATATATATATATATATATATATATATACTTTACATAATTTATACATTTATGATTAACATAAAAAAAATTACACAATTAAATTTAAACATACTATTAATCAAATATGATTGTACTAAACACATTTTCTTTATATAGGTATAAAATGGTATTTGTTCCATTCACAGCAGTTGACCACTACAAGAAATTAGTTACTGTTGGCGTTGGGTTGCTGAGTAGAGAGATAGTTGAGTCCTATGAATGGCTACTTAAAGCTTTTCTTAGAGCTCATGAAGGGAAAACACCAAAAATTGTTCTAACTGATCAAGATCCAGCAATAAAACAAGCAGTGGAATCTGTCTTACCAAATTCAAGACACAGATTATGCATGTGGCACATAATGAAAAAACTACAAACAAAGGTATAATAAAAATAAAACTAAAATATAAGTCATATATGATAACTCATATATGATTTATAAAAAAAAAACTATGTAATCATATATGATTTATTTATAAAAAAACTATGTAATCATATATGATAAACAATATCTACTTATAACTGTAAAATATAACTAATAGTATAATATAATATAAATTCATATATGATTAATCATATATGATTAAGTATTCTAATAATATGAATTATCAGGTATCATACTGTATAATCATATATGATTAGGCATATATGTTTGTACATTATAATAAATAATTAATCATACATTACAGTACATAATCATATATGATATATCCAAATAAGTATATAAATTATACTTATATAAGTAAAATTGTTCATTCATAGGTTACTGGCGATTTATTTAAAAACAAGGACTTCAAGAAAAGATTTAACAAGCTTTTTTGGAACATGCATATCAAACCTGATGAATTTGAGAAGAAGTGGGAGTTGATTATTAATGAATTCAATCTGGAAGATAAAAGACAGGTCAACGATATGTTCGAATTACGTGACAAATGGATACCTGCATACTTCAGTGACACTAGAATGTCTGGATTGATGAAAACCACTTCAAGATCAGAAAGCATGAATTCATTCTTCAATACTTACTCACAATCTAGAAATTTACTTTTACATTTCATGATGAACTATGACACTGCAATTCAAAAACAAAGAAATACACAAAAGGAGCTTGATCATGAAACAAAGAAGGCTGTATATAAATTAATTTCACCGCGACCGATAGAAAAACATGTTGCAAAAGTTTATACAAGTATATTGTTTTATGAAGTATAGAAAGAAATCTACAAAGGTTCCTGGTACTGCCATTACAAACATGTTGGAACAGAAAACGGATGGGAGTTATACAAAGTGGAACAACTAGACAAAAACAACGATTTAAAAACAGAATTGGAGGTAATATATTATTGGTCTAAATTTTGATGAATCAAAACGTAATATACAACAATTATGATTATGAAACAATATATACAACTATATTTATATTAAGAGAAAAAACACTTAATGCTTTAATTCTATTTTGAACAGGTAGAAGAAAAACTTCCAGCAAATGATGTAAAATGTACTTGTGAACACTTCAACCGCTTTGGGACTTTGTGCAGACATGCATTCAACATACTCATGAAACATGGAATTAAGGAAATACCTGAACAGTACATTGATAATTGTTAGAGAAAGGATGTGATATCAAGGCATTATCACTTTGGTAGGCATGTATATGATACACGAGACAGTGAAATTAATAGATCTGTCAATCAAGCATACTACAACTTTGAAGCATGTTTGGAATACGTAAGAAAAAAATAAAGACAAAATGGATTTGTTTGTTAAGAAAACAGAAAGCATGCTGAAGGAATACTAGAACGATGCTACAAATTATTTGCAGAAAAATAGGACAGATGTTGAAGAGGTAGGAAAGCTTATAGACATTTCTATTCCAAAAGACATTGACATCAATGTTCCAAATGTTCAAAGAAATAAAGGAAGTGGAAAGAAAAATAGAATTCAAAGTGCAACAAAAATAACATATAAAAATTCAAACAAGCAAACAAGAAGATGCTCAGCATGTGGAGAAAGGGCTTGCGTACATGCCCAATCAAACTTGCAGCAGAACAATCATCAAAAGCAACGTAGATAATTACTAGTTTAATCAGTAATGAATAAGTCAAGATTTTTTGCTAAATAATATACTTTTTGTTTGATGCATTTTACTCTTTTTACAATACATAATTTACTATGATTTTGTTTATTGAATTCTATCTACTTTGATAATTCTTTCTTTGATTTTATTAGTAGTGCAACAAATCAGTTTTCTTAAAATTTTTCTCTCTTAAACCTTCTTCTATCTAACTTTATGTCTTTTATGATTACAAAAGTATATAATCACTTATGAACATATGAAGTGGTATTACATAATCATTTTTGATTATACAAATAGAAATAATTAGGTAATCTGTTAACTGTTATTCAATACATGTAATCATTCATGATTACATATAAACTGTTATTCAATATATCTAATCATTTATGATTACATATAAATAACATCTAAGTTCTACTACAAATCTCACTACATATAACCATATACAACAACATTGCTCATAACAAATATAAAACAACATTGTTCATAAAAAAATACAAACATAACCATATTCATCTAGAAAAGCAACTTCTAATCACCCATCATAGAATAACATCAAACATGATAAAATATTCAATAACAGATAATTTTACAAGCCTCAAATATCACGTTCCCCATTTTCCAAGATTCTTGTTCTTCATATTCATAGCTAGATTTTCATACAGATTGTAGCTGACTCCAAGAACACTTACACCATTACTTATAAAGATTATCTCCATTGAACATACAAAATCTTTACTACATATCTGATGTAGAGAAATGTTGTTCATTAAAAAGAAATCTTCTTTAAATGAACAACATTCCTCTACTTCAAAGACATCTAGTAAAGATCTGATATGTTTAATGAAGATAAACTTTTTAAGTAATGGTGGAAGTGGCCTTCTCGGAGTCAAATACAATATCTATGAAAATCTGGCTATAAATAAAAGAACAAGAATCTTGAAAAAAAATGGGGAACATGTTATTAGATACAGTAAAATTAGTTCTTTTTGACTTATAGAGTCCATAATTTACCTGAAATGAGATGGAAGTTGTTTACATCATAAATAAGTAATGGTGATATATTAAAAAATTGAATTAAAAATTGAAGAAATTAATATACAAAACTAAACATTGGAGAAGTATAACCACTCATCTTTGACCAAATCTAAGGGGTAACACGAGGCTACCCACTTGATAAAAACAGATTCACAGCTCAATGAAAAAACTTATTTGTTTTGATTTATAAAGTCAAGATTCTTCACTACAAACACTACAAAACAAAAATAAAATCTAAAAAAGATAAGATTCTGCATGGTGATGTATTCAATGCAGTCAAGATAAGCTCACTTATCACGAAAAAATACATTAAATTATAATGTGGTGTTCAACATATGTAATCGTTTATGATTACAAAAACAGAGAGAAAAAAATTAATTGATACAATCACTAATGATTACATATAAACAACTTATAATCGATACAAAAACATAATTACATATAAAAATATAACATAATCACTTATGATTAACATTCAATAACATAATTCATCGAAACAAACTTACATAATAAAATCCATCAAACTACATATAAACTTGTTTTCCATCACCATAAAAACAAACATTCTTTAGAATATCCATATCATAAACACAACATAAACCAACATAAACAAACTTGTTCTTAAAACATCATCCACAAATCTTTGGATCAACATTTTTTATACTTATACACAGCTTTCAACACATCATCACGCTTCGTATTAATCTCAAAAGTTTAAATTGTTGTTGCATATTTCACTCTCAACTTCTCCATAATTTTTTCTTGAGAAGGACCTTTTTTTGGAGGACCACATTTCCATTTAGAACATTTTTCTCCAAAATAACTCTCCATATGTCTCATAGCAAAAACACCACAATCCATTTTGTTGTAAATTGT